AAACACGTAGAGGTATTAAATTGAAATTCATACCAAATACTCAGGTCTATAATACCTTTAAGCTGTAACAAAATCAAACTTCTATGTCAACGCAATCAAAAGAAACAGCAATTTAAGCTGCATATTTTGAAACTCGCAAGTACTCGCAAGGGAATCAAAACCTAAAGGGTACTTCCAGTCGACCTAGAATCTTGAAATTTGGCATGAAGCAACGTTTTATAGCACACATAAAGGAAAAATTCCGAAAACCTTAAAGGACAATGGGCAAAATGGTACCCGGCTCCAATAGATATGTGTCTAGTATCGTTTGAAAGGTCTTACCAAAATGAACAACTTTTACTATGACCACCAGCCTCAGATCTGGTTGTGTACGAAGATATACATACTTTTTTGCAGAATGGTACCCGGCTCCAATAGTTATGTTTGTAGTGTCATTTAAAAGGTCTTACCAAGACGAACAACATTTACTATGGCCACCAGCCTCAGATCTGGTTCGGGTACCACTTTCCATACATTTGTGCCCATCATCCTTTTTAGTTACAATACAAAATATATTTTTTAATAAATATAAACTTATGAATTTCATTTTGCAATAAAAATACCATAGTTATGACTCGATTGTCGTAATGAATGAACTTTGTAAACCTTGCAGGTTTGTACGGAACCCTCGGTGCGCGAGTCCGACTCGCACAGGGCCGGTTTTTTTTAGCATAGCTTCCAAAGCCACTATGACCCAAACTTCATGATTCACCAGCATTCTAACCTATATTGGGAGCATACGCTGACAATCTTTCAGCTTTTATAAAATGACGTAGGTCTGGCTGGCGTTCACTAGCTCTTAGTCTATCTGGGTACCTGAGAAATATTTCAAGCGTCTTCTCCCCAACGACAGCGAATTTATTTTCAGCCTCGTTTAATATAGAAGTTATTGAATTATATTGACAAAATATTATACAGCCTCACTCATAAGTTCTTGCCCTTAGAGGTCCTTGAATTGATCGTGGACTGACCTACATTACGGTGTTGCCAACCAAATTATTTAGATTAGGTTGTTACTGGGATCCGAAGAAACAAGGTAGAACGGCCATTATTAAGAAAATAATAAAGAACCACATTTTATACGCCAACATCGCTGTTAACTAACTGAAGTTGTAGTATTTGCACACTTTACACGGCGTTATTTAGAAGTTCTCTAACTACTGCATAGCTCTATGGGGTTAGGGTATTAACTACTCTACTAATTATTGCATAAGGATTTCTCAATTTTAAGATTATATTAACTTAGTATTGCATTATGGCAAAGAGAGTATAGATAGACTCTACCATAACCCTTAAAGCCTGCGACCACAATGCGGTACACCTATCTTCGTAATCCTAGGTTTAATTTTCAGGGAGATCACTAAATTTTAACTTCAGACATAAATCAAGTAGGTAGATTACCTGAAAATGAATACCTGCTTATAGCGAAAGGACCGCGCTAAATTGTTTTCTTTTGTGTATTTGTTTCTTTTCTTGTTTTTTTGGTACTTACACAAAATGTCTCTCTCGTTATAATTATCAACATTATGATTATTAAGTACGTGCTTTGCCATGTGTCCGATTGAGCCTTGCCAGACATTTGTTCGTCATTAAGTCTTGGCACCAAACTTGACCTCAGTTCTCACAGCCCACAGATAAAAGATGACTCTGTGGTCAACTTTATTGTCTATAGTCTCTGCAAATGGACTGTTACTTTTTTTCTGACGTTAAGAGTCGCCTCTCGATCTACATTTTTAAAATAACTTGGAAAAATCGAACTGCCTAAGGTGATTTATCCAGTATCTAAGGCTGGGTTCCACCATCTTACTTTATCTTTTTATTTATTTATTTATTTATAAGGCATACCAACAACATATATATTATACTCTTATGATTAACATTTATGAAGATATTATATTTGACAAACGTCAAAAATCTGTCAAACTCCATACAAAAATCACCGGTTAACGTTATAGTTACGATCAAAGTTAGGTGGTGCAACTCACCCTAAGTAGTTCAGATGGAGGAGCAGTTGTTTGGCAAACGAAAGGTTGTGGGTCCAATTCACACCTTAGGCAGTTCGAGTTTTTGAAGTTATTTTAAAAATGGACTGTTCTTGTTTCCCGTTACGAAATCTCCGAACTTAATTACTTCATCTTTTAGGTAAGCGTCCACGTTTTCCTTGAATCAATAACTGTTGAAGGTTTTCTTTGTAATGGTGTGACGTATTTTAATGAATAGCTACCGAATCATTGTGACGTAGGTAGTTTAAAATAAGTTGCTACCGAATCATTATAATGACGTTGAAATAACTTTTGTCTACGTCTCTACGTCGTTAGTTGACTCTACAAGGCGTAGACACTTCTGAAAGAACGCGTTATTAAAGTCCTTAAATTAAAATCAATTTTCGGAATCTTTGGGTGTTCCCAATATAAAGAATTCGTGTTAAAAGTAGAGTTCAAACTTGGGCATTAATACATACTACTACTAAAATGTTGGACAAAGGATGTCCAGGAGTGGACGTCATTTGGATGAAACGAACGAACTACTAAAACTACATATTTTTATAGACGACTAGGTTTTTTTCCCAAGACAAGACGTTACTTTTAAATGCTTTGATTTTTTGCGTGTGATATTTTAAACAGAAAATTGCTAAATATGACACAATAAGGCTGAGTTGCACCACCTAAATTTAACGGTAACTATGACGATAACCGGTGCGTTTTGTGTGGAGTTTGACAGATTTTTGACGTTTGTCAAAGTTAAAGTATGATGGTGCAACCCAGCCCTAGTTAGCAACATAAAACATTTCAATTGCCTGGCCTTTACCAAACACAATTTTGAGCAACCTATAATAATATATTTCGTCCGTCGAACTCACGGTTTCCAGGATTTGGCCTCCAACAGCCTCCAACTTGATTATGCCCGCCCACTCTACTTCTCAGCCCAATATTTGATCGAATAATATTATTTATGTCCTACATAAGAATTCGGGGCAATAGGTATGAATTAATACAGTTAACGCCCTCGCAACTTCAAGTCTGAAAGAAGAAAACGATAACTCTTTTATAATGCGAGTCCCTATTTAGCTGTAAATAGGGACTGGAATTCGCTGTCTGCTGCTGTCTTTCCCGAAAACTATAATCAGGACCTTTTTAAAAGGCGAGAGTAAATAGGCATTTACAGGGCAGATATGTACTATCCTAGACTGAATCTCACATAACACCAGCTGCGATTGCGGTCAAATACCTGCCTAGTATGCATTAAAAAAAAGATCTAAGAATTTTGTCATATCTACTTCTTGAAGTTGTTGCATTTGCGGAAGTGACAAGGTGTTTTCTAAAGTCTTCAGGTTTGGTTGTCATGTTAATTTTAAAACAAATATCCGCATTCCTTCTGCATTTTAATTAAGATATTATGACATTTAGTACATTCGCATAACAAATGAGAAGCGTTTGAATCGTACGGTGGCGAAAATTGCGCTTATAAGATGAAAAAGCTCTACGACCAAAACCTTTTGTTCAAAGGGTAAAATGGGCTTTTAAAGCACCAATCATGATAGTAAAGGATCACTATAAGTTTTTAATGATAATTACATCTGCAACATTATTAATAGTCCAGTCAATAAAGCATTATAGATGGAAAACTGTAGAACACAATTTCTGACTTCAGGACTTTATTTAGACTAGTTAGGAGGTGAACATAGCAAAAGTCCCCGCCCTTAGCCCTTGAGGTATATTTATGAAATTTGAAGCTGATGTACATCTTGCAAGTCTCAATACATGAGCCAAATTTGAAGTGTTAATTCACAGTAGTTTTTGAATGATGAGGAGTCAAAAGTGGCTCTAATTGGTTCGTCTAAATATACGCACGGTGCAGTCCCCTCCATGGAACTAGGCTTAACATGCTCCCGCATGTCTATAGTGTTTGCTCAATGTTGATTTAGTCGATTTTCTCCTGAAAGGAACATTTAAGACAACAATAAAATTTCCAATTTTACAGACCTTCTAGAGCAGATGCCGCAAAAACTATACAAGATATAGAAAAACTTGACGGTCTCACCTGTAGCAAATTGAATAAGCTTTTTTTGGTTCATAGTAGTCATGTCACTAGGACGCATAGTTTGCGAGGATTAAGCGAAAAACCGAAAATTGGTACCTTTAAACCCCCCTCTCCCCGCCGGCTCAAGGGCTAAGGGCGGGGACTTTTGCTATGTTCACCATCTAACTAGGCTAAATAAAGTCCCGAGGTCAGAAATTGTGTTCCACGGATTTCTCTCTACACCGTCGTTAAGGCATTCATTGACTGGACTATAAAGTTAAAGTAAGATTGTGCAACTCAAATAATTATCTTAACTACATCACCGTTTTCAAAAGATTTTGTTGCAAAAATCCCGTGAAGTGCTAATTTTATGGTGCAAGCCTAAGCCTTGCTTATCTATGTATGATATCTAGTTGTAACAAACTAGATATACATAGATATGTATTTTCAACTTTCAGATATAATTTCTCTCTCATCATACTAACATAAGTGTAATTCCATTCTAATTTTAGCTCCAAAATAGGCAATTCCCAACTACGAAATGTCGAAACCACAGAACGCACATAATCTGCTCAGGGTGCGGAGATAAAGCGTGGCATTCTAACCTATCACCCCCAAATGCATGCGGTGCGGGACACGGGCTGGCGGGAGCCGCGTGACAGCCCGTCACGTGGCCACGCTTTCCCCCCCTCCCCCCAACACCCCTCCCAAACCACCCACCCCCTTATCACAACCAGCCACAGAGAAATTCACTAACACCTTTGTATTGCCATTTACCAACCTTTTTTCAATGCTCATTTGTTTCGTTGTAAATTAGCGGTACGAGTTTTGCGTTTGACAGTTTTCTTTTTCTTTTGCAAGTTGCCAGTGTTCAAGTTTTCATTCATTCGAATTCAATTGATTAGTTTTGAAATTGTTCAATTGTTTTCAGCCAGTTTTTCGTGAGTTTTAACTGTAAATTAAATGAGTTTTATAAAGGTTTTTTTTTAATGGTTTATAAACTATGGTAATGCTACAGCGTAGCCTTCGTAGCTAGCTAAAAACGAATTCCACTATTTTAATAACATTTTCGACAGACGCGTAAAGGAAAAAGAATGGGACTGCAAGGTGCATAAAAAGAAAAGTAGTTCGCCCCTAGCAGGGTGCAGCGGGTGTCACCCGTCAAACGATTAGATTTTTTTAGACGAATCCGTCCGACTCTCTCACTCGTGTCCTTATTCCAGGGGGGTAGAGTCGAGGATGGAGCCAAATATAGGCACATAGATGTTGCGTTTCGCCGAGGGCCTCAGTAGGCCTCACTTCACTGTGGGGTGGTAGGCTTGGCAATTACTAACGCAATCTTTTTTTTTTCTTATAGAACGGCACTCGCCACCGTGAAGTTTTATTAACTGGCTGGATTTAAAAAATAATATTCGAATTCAGTAGTTGTAGACAATTTTTGATATTATTATTTTGTTTTGTTTCTGGTTAATTTCCATTTTTAAATATTTTTGTATAGTGGTTATTTTACCTCTAGGGCTCTACTGAATAATTCTACATTCTAAGGCTGAGTTTCACCAACTTACTTTGACCGTAACTTTAACAATAACTTACGGTCTTATTTCTTTTTGTATGGAGTTTGACAGATTTTTGACGTTTGTTAAAATCAAAATAAGATGGTGCACTCAGTCTTAACAGACAAATAGAGATGAACAAATAGTGCATTAGGGTTCCTTTGGATACGGAACCCTACCTAGCATTCGCTAAGCACTCCTAAGGTTCTTTCTAGCGCATAGAAGGGTGTAGAGACCACGTTTTGCGAGCGCGCGCCCGCCATTCGCGAAATATTATACCAGGAGCGTATGAGGCAACAGGAGCTTTTTTATTTCTTGCTATTTCGCCGCTGGAGTGGAGCAGCCATATTTTTTACACTATATTTTTGTAAAGCAACATTATGACAACTCACTTTTAAATAAAATTACTTTTTAAAGGCAATTATTTATATTAACAAATTAAGTAGAGGCAACTAAGTATAAATGATTGTTACAAGTTAATATTTTACAAACTTCAGTAAAAAGCAGCATTTGCGTAAATCTAATTTGGAACACTAATTAGTCATAATCTAATTAGTTGGCTACTACAATAGTATAGTAAACATATTGTATAGCAATACGTAACAATAATAATAGTCTAGTTAATTTTGAAGTTTTGTAATTCTGAAGTTTGCCGACCTAAAGGAAAGGTTAACCAATCACAAGTTAGAAGTTTAGGACCGCAATAGGTCAAGAATATTCAAGCCGACCTATTGTTGTACAAGTTCTTGAATATTAGGTATAAGGCATTTAGAGTTTATACGGTGTAATATAATTCCAAAAGTTTCGCTGAATAAGTTTACATAAAATAATAATAGTTTCAGTGTATACCTTGAATGGTATTGTTCTAATTGCTGACTTTACAACAATGTCGTGAGTAGAATGACTTTTGACTTTCAGTATGTATCATAATTATCCCATCCCAACTATCCCAACTAATATTATAAATGCGAAAGTAACTCTGTCTGTCTGTCTGTCTGTCTGTCTGTCTGTCTGTCTGTTACGCTTTCCCGCTTAAACCTCGCAACCGATTTTGATGAAATTTGGCATAGAGATAGTTTGAGTCCCGGGAAAGAACATAGGATAGTTTTTATCCCGGTTTTTGAAACAGGGACGCGCGCGATAAAGTTTTTCTGTGACAGACAAAATTCCACGCGGGCGAAGCCGCGGGCGGAAAGCTAGTATATTATAAACTTGTTACGTTGTTGTACAAAGGTTGCTGACGACACAGAACAATAACACCTGTAAATAGGTAATGTTAGAGTAAGAGCTAGTGAACGCCAGACCTACGTCATTTTATAAAAGCTGAAAGTTTGTCAGCGTATGCTCCCAATATAGGATATAATGTTGGTAAATTATTATGAAGTTTGGGTCAAGTAGAACAAGTACAGTCTATTGAATATACAGAAAAAGCCACCGTAAAAGTTAGACTTACGTTATACCATAAAATCAGTTTTTTTATGTATACTATTTGGGCAATAATTAGAAGCATGTTCCCCAACAGCCAGACAGTTTTGACAGTTCCAACTCCTTGTCAGATAGTTTTTTTAGGGTAACTCCCAAAGCCACGATTACCCAAACTTCATAATTCACCAACATTATATCCTATATTGGGAGCATACGATGACAAACTTTCAGCTTTTATAAAATGACGTAGGTCTGGCGTTCACTAGCTCTTAGCCTATGTCGTCTCTACACTACGAATAAATAACATAAGTTTACCAAGCCTTTATAATATTTCTAATACTAGCTTTCCGCCCGCGGCTTCGCCCGCGTGGAATTTTGTCTGTCACAGAAAAACTTTATCGCGCGCGTCCCTGTTTCAAAAACCGGGATAAAAACTATCCTATGTTCTTTCCCGACTCAAACTATCTCTATGCCAAATTTCATCAAGATCGGTTGCGAGGGGTTTAAGNATTGAGGCAGTAAGAAACAACACTGTTTTTATTGTATCTACACAATAGATTACTGTGATATTCACGTATCGTCACAGATAACTAATAAGTAACGTATTAAAATAGATGGGATAAAATAAAATTAAAATAACAATGACCTTTAAAATATTTAAAAAATTTTTTTCACCAAAAATGTTGACCCGCCAATTTTTGGATACACCTCCATTGACAGCTGTCATCGGCATCCGAAATGTTTTATCTGTGCGTAAAGTGTTGTTCCCATGGAGTCCATTTGCCGGCTGTCCGTCAAGGGCGAAGGGTGGGGGTGGGGGGACGCACGTCACACCCAGGTTGCATAACCGTCCCACGCTCATGCTACCCTAGTAGACAATGTCTGTGTTGGATAGACGATAATCGCGATTTTTTTATTTTATTATTAGTATACAATTTATTTTACGTAATTCGTTTTGATTACGTTCTGAAGGGATCTCTACATTTGTCTATTTAATTTTTGCCCGTTTTTTCTTTTGTTTTCATCTGCAACACTTCAAAAAAGATGTAGCAATAGCCACAGCTGTTTTATTTATAAGTTCTGTTTTTGCAAGAGTTCTTTGTATTTCAACAGAAAAGTCAGAAACGTTTTCACTTGCGTTTAACATTTCACCGAAACAGTTATAAGGTGAAACATTGTTAATAAAAAATAAATAATGAAAATTTCAAAGATCTTTACCCGAGGCAGAATGATCGACAAAATCAATCTAAACGACATCACCTCACTGGTTTTTGTATGAAGGTGGGATATTAAATAAAATCGAGAGCGTCGTCTTGGTGATAGAATATTCTCGATAATACGTCGATAACAATTACGTGATAAAACAAAACAGAAAACGCGAAAATAGGTATATTGAAAGAAAGAAAGAAGAAAGAAAGATACATTTATTACAATAGACATCACACAAATACAGGCAATTATATAGACATGACAGTGGCACATAATAATTAAAGAAGGAAAAATAAAAACAAGAGTAAACTGAGCAGTGCCACCCATTCACCAACAAGATGCCCATTGCAACGGGACCCCACTCAGCATATGCTGTGGCCCACGGTGTCGAAGGACATCAAAGAACCGTTTGTAGTGTAAGAAAATCTATAAAAAATTACGTTACAAAGTAAGAAAATTAAATATCGTTAATGTCTATTGATGAACTTTGGATAGATATGAATGGGACCTAGAGGCTAAGGGAAGATCAGGCTTTGTAGATATCAAAAGAGAAGAGAATTTTATATCTGTAAGTTTGTATAATTACCGAATCTAAATTCATATTTAAGCTTAAGAAATCAGCTGATTTCGATAGCTCAAAGGAGAGTCGTGGGCAGAAGCTTGCTATAAGTATGTTTGCTTGAATAATCTTGATGTCTTTACAACGGCCATAGAATTCAGAAAATATTTATATTGTAGAGGTATGAAAAATGTAACGAAAAATCGTCTTTTACAATATGACAATACATTATATTTCGTGGAAAGAATTCGCTTTACACTCGGTTTAACATTATGAAAATGACATTACAATGAACTGTCTGGAACATTTTAGGTTTTGTAAAAAAAGAAGTATGATCTATCAAAAGGAAAATGTAACATAGATACAGTATAAGGAATTGCTGAAGCAAGGAAAAGCGTGGGTACTTGACTATTCAAGGGAGGTTATCAGGTAGAAATAGTTGTTCATAGTTGATTTATTAGTGGCCAATACAATATTAAGGCTGAGTCCATCTATTTTAACTTGGCAAACGTCAAAAATCTGTCAAACTCTATAAAAAATACACTGGTTATTGTCATTGCTATGGTTAAATTAAGGTGGTGCAACTCAGCCTTGCTATAGAAAATAACAAAGTAACGCGATTTTATCATAATATGTGGTATGCTAATGCTTGGACCGATTGATTGAATGACTGAGTTTGTTCCGGCGTTTCTTCTCAGCACTTGCCATATATTTATGTTTGTCTCGAAGCGCTGGTAGGGCCCAAAAGATAAGGAGACATGTAAAGTACCCCATAAGGGTTACCTTTTTTTATTTACTATATTTTGATTTTGATTTTGATTATGATTCGCGTACCGAATTCTCCAATCGCCAAATTCGTTGTGGTTGCTGGTATGTATCCTTTTGGGGAATTGGGGACAATGTTATTATTACGATGAGCACGATCTACTTACTATAATAATAATCTAGAGTGAATAATAATATGTAGTTTATAGTTTCTAACAATATTAAGTAACAGTTCTGTTGCGCAATTGTTTTAGTTGTGAATTTCTCGCAATTTCATAAAGAAGGGCTTCAGATTACGTCACTACGACTTGAGGTAGAGCTTTGTAACTAAGGGCGGATGAAAGCTTTTTCTCATATCTTTATCCTTATTTTTCTTTGCAAACATATAACAAAATAATATAATAAATAAGTCGTAAGTATTCGTACTTTTTTCTTGTCGTTGGCAACGAAGGTTCTTATACAGTTATTTTTTCTGAAGTAAATGATTGATTTATTGATATAAAAGCAAATTAATTCATTGAACAGATTAGCTAGAAAAAAACAGACGAACATAAAAAAAAGGTTCTATTCTCAAAGTACAGTAAACTTTCATGCATTCAATATCACTGTTGTTGACATGAAAAACTGATATTCAATTGACTTGTGAATTTTCTATTATTTACCAAGTTCTGCTCCAGAAGTGTTGTTCACTGCTGAAGTATGGTTTCGCAATAATGATGCCGAATTATCGATAGCTCTACAGTATCGATAATCAATTAGTAGTTAAATATTTTCGATAGTATTGTTTGGTTTGTAGATTTGCAAATAATCTGTAGGTATTAACCACTAGTTATCATTGGAAATTGTAACAGTTCAGGTAGATATACCATGGATGGAAGATCAAAAAATATTTTTTGATCTTCCATGATATCTCTAGTGGTTAATACAGATAGAGCAAAAGATTATTTGCAAATCTACAAACCAAACAATACTATCGAAAATGTTTAACTACTAATTGATTGTTTTGTTTGTATCGCTAGTCTTATCCTACCTATGGTGTGATTGACCCTGCTTTCGCTGGAAAATGGAACCTGATAATGGTATTTTCACGTCCTGAGCTATCAATACTAGATTATCGACCCTGTTAACAGTACTATCAATAGTGACTCACGTCGGTCAACTATCGATAAAATCGTACTGCCATCTCTACAGCACTATTCCGCAACTGTTTTCAAAGTCAGAGGCCAACAGCCTGCGAGGTTCACCTCCACAACTGTTAAATAATGCCAGGCTAATTCGGGATAGTCGACTATATTCAAACTATATTCAAACAATATTCAAACAAATCACATTGATGTATGAAGCTGAATATTGTTTTCAATGTCGCCAGGTCAACGGCTCTACGATCACCTCTAGTCTTATTCACTGAATATGTTGACTATTGACTACTATATTGAACATTGTGCAATGCTTTCCCAAATCTGAACCCTATTTTCGGAGACATAGGTTTCTAAATGAAACAATGTAGAGTCGTATTTGGTTATTAGAATACATCGCTTAAGAAAACAAGAGATTTTAATACGGGAGCGAAATGCGTGTAACGTTATGTTGAAGACAAAAATATTCGTAACTAAATAGCAATACAAGTTTGTAGAAACAAGTATTAAATAAATACTAAAATAAGTATATTTTTTGTTAGTTAAATTAATAGACAAAGATGCAAAGATAAATAAATTATTTAAGCACATAGCATGTATGAACTAAAATACAAATGAGAAGAAAATACTTTTTAAGAGAAAAATAATTTTGTTAAGAAAATTTTTGAGCAATATTTATAGAGGCAGAGTACACTAATGAGCGCGGAAAAAATTACATTAAATGTATGACGAAATCTTCATAATCCAGTTTTTTTAAATGTATGAAAATTTTAGTTCTTGAAAGTGTTCGCTAGGGGCGCTGTACAATCCGTCATACATTTTAATGACACTTTTTACGCAGTCGATATTGAATGCGTTTGACGTAAATTCACACTACGCCAATGTACAATAGACACCACGTTTGGCAGGTAGGTAGGTACTACAAAACCAACTTTTTTTAATCTATATTTTTTTTTGTCTGTATGCAATATGCATCGCATACCAAAACTCTATGACGCATCGGCGTACCTACGTAAAGACCACCGTCTCAATAATACATTGTTGAACTCAACTCAGGACAATCTATAATATAAAAATGAATCGCAAAATGTGTTGGTAAGCGCATAACTCAACAACGCCTGGACCAATTTTACCAATTCTTTTTTTAAAATGTTTGTTGAAGTCCAAGGATGGTTTTTACGGCGATAAAAGTTCGAATAATCACCGGGAAACCTCTAAAAAAACTCAAAACTTCAACCCTAAGGGGGTAAAACGGGGTTCACGCGGACGAAGTCGCGGGCGGCCGCTAGTGAAATATAAAAATATATGACGACAGCACATCAAGCTGGCTCAAATACTCCAATCAATTTTGTACTAAAGTACATATCTATTTTTATAAAGTTTGAAATGGATTGAGGAGATAATATAACTGTTTGTATAACTGACATAAATTAGAACAAAATGAATAATATTGATGAAGATATTACTTCAAAAAAAGCTAATTATTTATTAATTTATTCGCCAAAAATTTTCCAAACCATGTTTTTATTCAGAAACACATACATATGTACCTATAATACCTAGAATTTTACTTTTAAATGTAAATTTCTAGGTATTATGTAATACATCACTTCGGGTAGTGTGTTTCTGTTACTACCTAAATTGTTTTTCTTAAATGGTAATTTGGATTTAAGATAATTCTAATACGCACATCTAAGTAAAATTTTTGTACCTTAATTCGTTGTATTACATGTGATTTTGGAACAAACATTTTTTAATCTAATGTGACGCCTGAATTATTTGAAATTAAAATTCTCAAATTGGAACAAACAACTCCTGAAAACATTGATAAAAAAACTTGTAGACCACTTTTCACGCAAATAAACTAATTTGATTTGATTTGAAAACAAAAGTTTTGAATTTGTAATGGCTTGTGTAAAACCTACTAAAGTCATTTAGAAATCAATCCACTCAAATTCAAAAAGATACTCAAAAATAACAACGCAAGTGTCATTGGATGATATGAATGTCCAATTTTATTTATTTACTTTAATTTAAACTCTATGTACTTACACTAATTCCAGTAAGTACTGTCTAAAGACAGACTGGTACTAAAATGAAACTGAATTTTAATTGTAAGTCGTCTCTACATTTCTTATTAACATCCGACTCTACCTGTAGATCTGTCTTACTACGTTTCAGAACCTGTTTCTGTTGTGTGAGTGCTTGCTTAACGTAAACACATCCACAAAACACATCGTTCATGATTGGCATCACGGACGCACATTAACGATTTCATTATCAAGCTATTCTACGAGCATTATTAAATTATTATTAAACTGATAGACGTAATAATTAAACAAATCAAGCCCGATAACTACCTAATATCGTATACACGTGGATCCGACGACTAATCTCCGAACTGGTTGGCCGACATCTTTTATTTTTGTGATAAACTCTACAGCTGATTTTGCGCGTGGCAACCGAAATGTCACCAACACGCGCGATGCCACATGTGCTGACGTCACCCTAATCAGCTCGCGTACGCCACGCCCTAACAACCATCTCTTTCATTACTATCAACATAATCGCCCGTCTCGTTCTTCATTGCAGCGTGACTGATTACAACATCATCACACCAATTTCAACCGTATCGTTATACTCATACGGTCCACTATCATTCGAGAGCCCCTCTTTACTACTGACGTAGGATGTTGTTTGTGCGGTTGTCTCTTTCTATTCGTGTATCTCTCGCGGCCGATTCGAACTCCTATAGAGCTCTGCGCGCCTGGTACTTTACCGCCACGGATTGCAGCCGCCGACGAGCGGTTGACACGGGTTTGACAAGTGGTGACCGAGCAGACCGCAGCAGCGGTGCGCAACCTAGCGAAAATGGTGTTTATTGTAATTGTTATTGAGGAGACGCAACGTGTTTGACGTGTTGTTTTGTTTACAGAGGAGGAGCCGAAGTCGCCTTTGTCGGTGCGGGTGGTGACCGGATTGCCGGTGCCGGCGGTGCCGGTACGGAGCAACGGCGTGGTGCGGCCGCCGTCGCCGGTACCCCCCTGCCTCCCCGCAGCCCCCGCGGAGCCCCAGCCCGCGCCGGTCGTGGCTGCCCCCGCACCGCTCGACTTCATACAAGAACATTCCAGGCCCCGTACAACGAGTAGTAGTCATGGGTACGTATGCGCTCCTGGTAGCTGCGCTGTCTAAAACAGCTGGCATTCTTTGCACGGTTGCGTGTTTTATCGGCTATTTAGATAAGTGAAAAACAATACATTTTACTAGTAAATTGTATTGCCAATACGATAAAATCATTTACGTCATGGATACTTTTAATGTTAGCTACTTTAATTCTCGATTGATTCTCTGTTTACTTTTACATATTATTATTACTTTGTTTGATATGATGACGGTTACAATAATATCAATGTTCATAACTTAATTAAACTTAACCACATTGAATTTATTAATGGACTCTACCTAATCGAGTATGCATTTTACAAGGTATTCGATTTGGTTGAGACTTGAGACATTGTGGTCAGTAAATGTAATTAAACCAGTAGCAATGACTACGTGGTTTAGAATTTAGATAAAAAGCCACGGTTACCTAACGATTAATGTACGAGTAATAACAGCTTCTTTATGATGTAGTTGCTACAAGTTGCTACAACCATTACTAGATGAAGAATACTACAGACAAAGACGCAACGCAATCCATAAATAAATGTTGATGTTAAAATTTGTCGTAGAATAACTGGTTTTAAAATAAAAATAGAAACTGACGACTCTACCATACATTTAATGACTTAAAAAAAAGAAATTATCTGTATTTTTCCTCATTTTCGTGACGAGGGTTTTTTTCAATATATACTTATATATTTGATATAGGTACTTTACTAGAACCTTCTGCAGTGCATTAAATTAATACAATAAAATGTAAGCGGGTCAAAATAGAAATTGTAATGTATCCTTGCCACGATGGACGTGTTTTTCAATAGATTGCTGTCAAGGTTTGGTTTTTAATATACGTGAATTGAATAATATTATAATCGTAGTCGTTCTTATTGCTTATTGGCCACAGCAAACCTTGTGGACCGCATGTATCATGCAATCAGATGCATCAAATGCATGCATACGACCCGTAGTTAGCAACGTAATTTTATCGAGGTCAAAATTAAACGGGCGCTTGACGATTTAATCTTGGCATTAGTAAGTGATATTTCTAATCAATACAATGCCCCATTTTAATATCAATCTAATAAATACTTTACAGTTATAAATGCGTTTGCGTCAAGGTGAAATTGCTTTTTCAAATTAATCTTGATTTGCATCGTAAATTTCAGTCATGTTATATTAAAATTTATTGTGAAAATGGGTTAGGTTGGTACAGAAGCTGCTTAAAATTCTACGCATTAACTTTAGGTGTGATCTTTAGAATACTTTTAGTATGTAATTTGTTCTTAAATTAAAATGTTGTATGTGCCTGATTAATACAATTTTAACTCTACATTGCTTGATGAAAATCGTTTCGATTTTTTTTTCTAAGTCCATTCAAATTCCAGTTCCTACTTTTGATAGATCACTGAGTACGTTTACTTTGATTACCTACAAGGAAAATGCAGTCATTTTCATTAGAATTTTGTATAAACATGACTGTATCTTTTGTTTCTGTACTAATCTTGAAAATCGGCAAATTTTACCCCTTCTGTCGGTCCCACTATCGATTATTGTGCTATTCTGTAGCTCGTTCTAAATGCTAGTCATTATTTTGTAATTCTATCCCATCTGAATGACCAGCTCATACAGATAATGATTGTCAATCTCATTTTCTTTTTCTCCCACAGCCTCCCCCAAATCCCCTCCCCACCTTCGGTCAGCAGTAACGGCAGTGGAAGCAGCAGTGGCAGCAGCGTCCCCCGAGCAGGCACCAGGGAAGTTCACAACAAACTGGAGAAGAATAGACGGGCGCACCTCAAGGAGTGCTTCGAACTCCTCAAGAGACACCTCCCGGCCACGCCCGATGACAAGAAGACGTCAAATCTATCGATACTTGGCTCGGCCATTAGGTATATACAGGTCAGTAGTAAATTGAAAATATTTCGAACACTTCTATACACTTGTAGGGACATAATATGTACTTTTTTGAGCTTGCAATATTATTCTTATTAGAGTTCGTAAAAGAAGGGACTTGGCAACACGTAATAAAACTCATAAATTAAAACATTGCTGGTACCATTTAAAAAATACGATTTGTAGACTTAGGGGTATGGTGTAGGTTAAGGGTAACTAAAGAATTCTTGAAGACTACTAGGTCTATTAGGTCTTAAATAATACAATGCACAAAATTCTCACTCTACGTATAGAGTCGTACATTATACATCAATGTAACCAGACCAAAACTAGACCCAATACAAACATCAATTCTAGTTTTAATAATTTTACACCTCAGTTGATGCAACCCACACGACAAAAGAAAGAGAAACATTTTATTTCCGTTATGTAAGATGCTAACATATGCTTACAATTAGTTTTCCTCTCGGTAACACAGCCAAAAGAATAATTATTCTAAATATAGATATTCAGCATCACCGCGACGCTAACTGTGCAAGTTTAGTATTCTGCCATGTTGAACGAACATCCGCGTCATGTGAATTTTCTTCCACAAAATTGGGAAATAGAGTGCCTAAAATAATAGAACTAAATGGAGTTACTTTGCTTCGGTGCACGTGTAATTTGGTAATATCACGTGAAAACGTGGTCGCAGTAGTAATTTAAGAATGGTTTGCGACATACCTGAGCTTTTTCTGTACTTACGTATGGGTCAATGTCAGTTACGTAATTGTTTTTCCTCATGGGCGAGCCTTTTTCCTCTTTCCTAACTGTTAGGGACAATCAGAAAAAGAAGTAATAATGTAATAGCTAGTCAAAACTCTATTACTTTCAGTTTGGCATTAAGTTCGCCTTATGTACACTCTTTTATGTGCATAGAAGTTTGAAATAATTAAATAAATATTATTAGTTAAACATAATAATATTCATCCTTAGCCCTAAATTGCCCGACAAGATCCATAAGTGTCCATAATATACCTATCATCCGTAACTGTTACATACGTTATACTTTTATTAACCTAATGGATATGCAATAAACTGTAGTTTGATTAAGTTGCATAGTTGTCTTCTTTGCTCATTGTTGTTACCAAGTTGAATAATGATAATACGCTATTTTCCAATCTCCACGTCATTATCCACATAATAATTTATTCTGAAGAATAAATTGACGTTTTGACATTATTGTAGACTTTCAGAAACTGTACATTTTCAGAAAGAAAATCTTTATTTGGCACTTTTCATGAGTACATGAGATAAACAACTTTAAATAGGTAATTTCTCTCATGTATTTGACTGAGATATCATATTGCTAGCTGTCAGGATCATCAGAAATTTCAGTGATTGCCTTTTTGGCTGCAATTTGGTTATCTTTGTATAAATTATAAAAAATAGGCTTTTTTGCTTTCATGAAGCACAATAATTGAAAAGTTATTTGAGCAGTAATTTTTAATGGTAGACTAGTGTCGAATAGGAAACCAAACAAAATAAACTCTTGAATCTCTTTTGAAATATTCCTTTGTATGAAATTTTACAGTGTAACCCGTCCAACAAGTAAAACAGCTACCAGGACTACATAAATGCGCGTAGGTACTGCTCTTACAACTGTAACGTAGCACGTTATACTTTCTACGGCTTTTCTCTGTTGAAACGTTTGGCGCGCGTCGTCGGAGGGTACGCGAAGTAGGTACCCGACTTTCGTAATTCGATTATTGTACGGCTTCTCTACGCATACAACCTTACAAACTTTCGACTAGATCTTCCATAACTTTCTTTTGAAATGTTTGACAAACCCCTTCAGAAACCTACTTAGTTGAACTGTTTCTTGGTTGATCAACAAGTTTCAGTTTAATTGTTTGAGAAACAATAAAGAATCTCATGAAAGTACCGAAACTTCGTCCCTCCACAATTTATATGAATTTTGAATTTCGTAAAACAATCGCATTGTTTCGCGTTGACAAAGCCAGCCAATTTCTTGCGAACTTTCGGGTGCAGGTATAAAAACCGATAAACGGTTTTATTAATTTGTTACTATGTAAAAGTGAGAATTATAATCGTGATGCAAAACATACATTCCAAAGGTTGGCGTAACCTTTCGAGTACGCGAAACGTATTATAGTTCCATGTGTTTATGTGCGCCTGGTACTTTATTCGCAGGTTCTCCGACGTAAAGAGCGCGAGTGCGAGCACGAAATGGAGCGGCTGGCTCGCGAGAAAATCGCGTCGCAACAGCGGCTGGCCGCCTTGAAGCGAGAAGTGTCGGTGCGCGCCTCCGTCCGCCCACGGAGTATCGGTACGTTCACCTCTAAGCGATTCATGCGCGCCTGGTACTCGTGGCTGAGATTATTTAATATTTGGCGCTAGAGGACACTTTGGCGGCCACGGTTAATTAAACCGATCATCATCATCGATTTTTAATTGTTATTTTTCTCGATTAAATAGCCATTCCAATGACATCATCATTTATTTCCATATTTAATTTTTGTTCTTTTAAATTAGAGATATCACAGAATTTATTTATTTTTACAAAAAAAAAAGTATTATTTTTTGTTAATAAGCCCTATTGTTTCATTTCAGATCCTACTGAAGACAAAGATAGGGATGATACAGTTAATAATCAAGTCGTAGGAATTCCCATAAGTGTAAGTTGTCATCAACTTATAGTAGTAGTTAGTAACGAAACAACTCATTTGCATTAATTACGTCAATCAAACAAGTCGGCGTGCTAAGGTATAATCCGTCTGATTTCAGATTACCTCTTCGCCGCCGCGGTCGGTAGCTCGGATGGATGCCTCTCCACCTCACACCCTCAACTTGAGCACGAAGCTGCGGACCTTGCCGATTCAAATAACACCAACCACCTCGCAGGTATGGGCTCCTGGTACCGCGTTACAATTTAGAGCTGACTAATCTTGGATTAGGTGGGGTTAGATGGGACGAGTTTAGCGGTGTTTAGAATACAAGCGCCATCTGTTGTGTGAGTTTGGAACTACTAGGAGTTTTTTGTCGATAGATGGCGCTGTATGTTTATGATTTATTGCAAGCATTTATCTTTTGTTATTGTTAATGTTTTATGTTGATAAACGTGTCAATTAGTACTGATATACAAAGCTTGTAGTTTTGTTACACAGTAAATATAATTGCGATATATAAATTACGATAGCTAAAAAATTAAAGATTTACGAGTTGGTACTTTTTTACTTGTAAGTGTTCAAATGACCCGAACTGCATTATGATTAATGATGATCTGCTCAATATAATTATAAATTGTTAATTTAAGAATTTACTAATAAGGAATGTTTTTGTTTGTAGGTCGTACGGACTTCGTACGGTTCAAGACATAACACCCTCACCTTAACCACGCTCGCACCGGCCGATGGGCCGACACAGGTAAATCTACTATATAAAAATAAGTCGGGTTTTCCTCCCTGACGCTATAACTCCAGAACGCACGAACCGATTTCCACGGTTTTGCATTCGTTGGAAAGGTCTCGGGCTCCGTGAGGTTTATAGCAAAGAAAATTCGGGAAAAGGGGGTAAAACAGGATCCACGTGTACGAAGTCGCGGGCGGCCGCTAGTAAAATATATAAAACTAGCCCCCATTTTCAAGCAAAATTATGTTAATATTTTCATGGTTTTATAAGTGCTCTATGTTAAGAAAACTCGAATAAATAGGAAGGTAGGACACATATCAGAAGTCATATTGCTGAAAGAAAGCCCGACCACTTTCAAGCCGATTGTGTCTTTTATAATATTATTGAATGTTTTAAATGGTCTAATAAACACATCGAGAAATTGACTGATTGCAAAATACTTAAATTGTCGCCGAAATTATCTAAATATCAAAGGTGACTGACATAGCGATCTATCAACGCACAGCCCAAACCACTGGACGGATCGGGCTGAAATTTGGCATGCAGGTAGATGTTATGATGAAGGCATCCGCTAAGAAAGGATTTATGAAACTCCACCCCTAAGGGGGTAAAATGGGATCCACGCGTACGAAGTCGCGGGCGGCTGCTAGTTAATGAATACACTATTCATTCGGTACTCCACCAACAATTTTAGAACGTTTATTTTTCTCTTATCCTAGTAACTAGAAAATCCTAGAATCTAGGGTGGCGCATTTTCTTAAGTTTCAAATCAACTTGTTTCCCCAGAACGGGCAGACAGTGGAGAACGGAGTGACGAACGCGCTTAGCACCGCCATCGTCCACCCCGCGCAAATACACCTACCTATATCACAAGTAAGTCGCCAGTTTAAATATAACCAATATAATGTAAAGGTAAAATTATTCTTGAATACACAAAAAAAAACTGACTAATTGTTTCGTTGGTGATGTATTTGATGCCTCCGGCTGCATTTGTGAACACTAAGTTGTCTTGATTTTTCTTTTTAGTTCATTTTTAAAGGGCTTTTTTAGCCACTTATAAAGCCCTTTATTTCGATGTCCCACTGGATAGGTTTTGGGGAAAAATTTTTTTAAAAGAATTATGGCGCCTAAATCATCCATTTTATTTTTTCCAATTTTAATATAGCCAGTGTCACTCTCACGATTAAAACGTACATAACGACACCTCTCACGCTAAAATCGGTCAAGTCGTTTAGGCTGTAGGCCGTGCCAAAGAAATATACATACATACCCACATACATACATAAAATCGAAAAACATAACCTCCTTCTGGCGCAGTCGGGTAAAAATATCAATAATTCCAAGGCACTTTCTCTAAGTTCTTTCACAATTTCTTTAAAAAAATTCTCTAAGTGCTACAGTATACGAATTACGAATCATGTATGACAAAATAAATATGCGTCTATGATACAACGCTACACGATTTGTGGTCAATAAACATTAATTCATAATTTGCACGTTTACTGAAAAACTGCACTAACTTAAAAAATGCGTTTTTCGAGTTTTTACTCGATTCTTCTAATATTAATTTAATATGAAAATTATAAAGACTATCTTGTATATTATTGTATCGATTAACTAATTTTCCGATTGCTACTGTAAAATAAATTATAAAATGAAATCAATACTTCTTTCTAGGTGATGGGGAGTGGAGGCTTAGTGGTGGGTCCGGCGGCGTTACAACTTTTGTCAGCGGGTGGCGGCCTCCGAGTGTTGCAGACACAGGCCGTGCACACCAACGGTGAGATCATAATAACCTAGTAGAACAGTGAACAGTACACTAGCCTAAGTATAATTGCTGTTAGAAAATAGCACGTATAACTACTGCATACGACGCCACGGTGATCACCTTGATTTATCGTCGTCTTATCACGCTCCTACCTGATACGTCGACGACTCACGAGCCGGCTAATGTTTCGATTAAGACGAGACGACTTACAAAAGCCGAGTCATAGTAAAAAAATCGTGCACCATACTAAATAGATCTTCACTTCTGAGTTCTTGGTAGGTATCTCAAACTCACATGTCCTGACACGATGGCCCGATTTGGGTATGACACGGTGCCAGTGGTGCCAGTGAGCCGATAGAGTGGGCATGGTGTATAAACGTACCAACTGAAACTTATGCGCTCCTGGTACCTTGTCGGCTGACGAGCCAACGACTCGACCGGGCAGCCGACCGAGGTCGCTCGGTCAGACGACACGAGTGCAAGCATACCCACTGTGACTTATGCGCGCCTGGTACCTCGACGTCTCGGCAGCCGACAGCTCGACCGAAGGCAGCCGACCGCGACCGCTCCTTTAGCCGACATCGGCAAAGACTGTGGCACAAACCCCCTGTGACTTTAAAATTAAAAACTTCTTTGTTTATTTCTCAGTTTATACCATTTATTTTCTTAATTATTTGTTGGGCTACTTAATTAATTTATTTATTTCATTTATTTAATTAATAACAATCTTAGCTCTAACATTACAGGTTTTAATTAATTATCACAATATTAATTGCTTCCAATACCCTGCGAGTTTCTTAGTAAGTGAATGAGTTTCTTGCGCTGTTTCTTCTTGCACTGGCCCACATTATTGTCATTAAACAGTGGTAGGGTTTAAAAAATGTAAACCGTAAAAAAGAAAAACGCTTTCTACAAGACTAATATTGCAAAAAAACCTACATTCATGAACTCTGTAATTTAGTCAAGTTGAAAACGGTAGGAGTGTATTCTATCCGTTATGTATGTGTCATGCTCATGTTACATTATGTAAAGTAATGTAATGTAATAAATGGATAAAAATGTGGAAGTATCACACAAAGTAATTACAGGTCCAATTACAATTGAAGCATTGGGAGCAACAAGGGCGTTCGGCACCGAAAGCCCGTTTTGATGTTATTACATCAAAACATGCACTGTACCATCTAGTTTAACATCCCAAAAACTCGTTTCGATCAGCCGCTCCCTGATGGCGTGAGAATAATTTAAGTAACAAGTGGCGCTACGCCCTTGTTGCACACAGTGACAAAAGTGCGTTTAAATTCGACCTGTATGCAGTTTTTAAAAACTTATTAATGTAAAAAATGACTGAAGACTAATTTTGAGTCTTGCAGTGACCTGGCCCCCTTTTAGATTGGTCCACGGACCAAGTGGCCAGACTGAATTTTCAATTATTTATTCCTCCGGCAAATGGACTCACTCTAAGATTCTAGAGTAGATTTATGTTGATTTGGTGTTTAATTTATTAACAAAAACATTGAAGGTTCACCTTTTTAGCTCCGGAAATTGCGGCAACCAGTTTAAAAAAGAAGAAAATATTTAAAAATTCAATCCGGCACTTGGTCCGTAGACCTAGCTAAAAGTGAGCTAAATGATTGGTTGAAATTGGTCCTGACCTTCCAGGCATGCCTGGAGGATCAGGCTGGACCTTTCAGGCCAGTTGCAGCTGATTCGGAAGATTCCCTTCAGTCTAGTGAATATTTTGATAAATCTGATTAAAACACGAAAGTCGGAAAAAATATTAAGAAAGTTTAATATTTTAACGGTGATTCTAATAAATACACATGTTTCACTTACATTTTAATTAAAATTTATAAAATAAGTATTCAAATTATTATTTATTTTCCATAAAAAATAATAATTAAATTAACGTCCTATCTGTTTACCAGTTTGGTGCAACAAGGGCGGATAACACAAGTAAAAAAAATCGCATTTTAAGATGTTTCCGATTGCTTTAAAATAGTTATAATACCTTAATATTATTGCTAAATCATGGCACTAACAAATAATAAAGTAAGTGTAAGTCAAATTATAAGCATTAAAAAAATATAAGACATTAAAACTTTCATCGTCAATTTTCTCGAAACTCAATTTTACGAGATACGCCCTTGTTGCACCCAATGCTTCAATTATTATTGTAGGCCATAAACTAAACATCATTTATTTCCGTGCACATTATTAAAAGTGTTGCAACTTTAAAAGTCAGTTAATTACAGTCTTCGGTCATTCTTATTACGTAATTGCATAGTTTAAAATAATTTTATTTCCTATTATAATAAAATATTTCTCCTCCATTT